TTTGGGGGGGGGAGGGGACAAGACTAATCCTTGTAACAAAAATAAGCTCAATGCAATTTTGACAATGGCTGGTATTAGTGTGATAATGGAGATCAGAATTTTTCAAGCCGTTTGTATCAGCCTTTAAATGAAAAGTTCAAAAGAGAAAACAGACAAAAAGTTGTACTCATCTGCATGCCTCTTTAACAAAGTAATTTCTCCTTCCCTTTCCCCATACACAACAAATGAAACAAAAACAAAAAAACTCTTTCAAAGTTACCTTTTCCTATGAGAACACCTATTCTGGAATCCAATTTTTCCCCTGGGTCACAGTTCCGTGTCACAAGTTTGAGGACAGGAAGAAAGGGTCTAACATCACAGAGTCTTCGCGTTTCATCCTCTAGCTCCTCATGTACTGCTGTCTGGTTCACACATGAGAACATGTAAGAATCAATCTCCATAAGGAGATGAAATAGGGGATAGCTGTGTGCTTGCTTCCATAGTAGCTGCAAATAAGAAAAAAAACATACTGTTAAGGACCCTTAAACAAGTATTTGGAATTTTTCTTTTTTCACTTACCTATTTACCTTAAGACAGTTCACAGTTAATATAGACCAGTTCCCATTTTCTGCATGATAAATCTAGAAACACCAAATAAGGGAAATGTGATACTAATTATCACTGCCTTTGTTAGGTCTTCTAACAGGGATTAAGAGTTGCCTTCTTGTTAGGTCCTGTCTTCACTGCTAAATAAAAAAAAATGGTAACCTGAAGAATTTTCAAACCCTTGTGTTCCTGAGGTAAAACACACAATGTAGTTAAGTAAACCAGGATGAGGTCAGTTTTAAACCCCCTCTTAGAGCTGACCTCACCTATTTTACTTTGCAGTAAAACTAAATTGAAGGTAGTCATCATTTACTGCAGCAATAGAATACTGACTAATCCCAGAGCCAGTCCCCTGTGCTGACTAGCAGACTGTCACCACCCTTCTGGAGCCCTCTCACAATCCTTTCCTCTCCAAAAACTTTTGTAGATCATTTCTTCTTTCTTGAATATCCTCTAAAATCTTATTTGGGATGGGAAGCATGGTTAAGTGCTGAGAATTTCAAGCAATTAACTGATAAATTAGTAACTGGTTACATATATTGCATCTATTGCTTCCACTTTTCTAAATATCACAGAGATGAATATAAAATGGTTGGGCTAGACAACTGATTCTTTTGAGGATTTATCTTTTTTTTTTTTTTTTTTAAATCAGTAATTCCAGTAAGCTATGGGTTAGAAACATAACAAGTAAAATATCTATTGTGTACTTTGGCAAAACACTTTTTAACACCATAATTCTGATCGACTATAAGATCCTAGATCTTGAAAGCTAAATTAGTCTGCCTTCTGTTTAGATGACCAGGGTACCAAATACATTCATTTTCAGATATTTTATTTTTTATTATTTTGATACTGCAGTGATGGGAACAGGATGTTAGAGTTTGTGTATAAAAAAGTTTGAGAGTCATGGAATTTCTAAGATCCAACCACTGAATAGTAATAAAACCAGCAGATATAGGAGGAACTATAGTTATCCTTAGCGGTGAAGACTACATAAAAGAAGCCAACAGACAACTCTCTGACACCATCTACTATAAAAAAAACTAGAGGAAGATCCAACCCCCTTTTCACCTCAAAATTCAAGCCACCATCACATTTCACAGAATTCACAGAAGTTTAGGGCTGGAAGGGACCTCGTGAGATCACTGGGTCCAGCCCCACTGCACTGCTCTGGGCAGGAAAGACTGCTGGGGTCAAATAACCCCAGTAAGGTGTGCATCCAGTCTCCTTTTGAAAATTTCCAGGGCAGCTGCCTGAACCACACCCACTGGGAGTCTATTCCAGAGTCTGGTCACATGACCCATGAAGATTTCCCTTATATTCAGGTCTGAAACCTTCTTCTAGGAGTTTATGACCATTGCTCCTGATTTTCCCCTGGAGCGCTTTGGTGAATAGTTGCTTGCCTAACTCCTGATGCTCTCCCCTGATATATTTGTAAGCTGCCACCAAATCCCCTCCAAGTCTTAGGCTGAACAGTCCTGTATCTGTCAGCCAATTCCTCCTATGGCTTGCTCTTCAGGCCTTACCAATGCAGAGTTGAGTGAGAGAATAATTTCACATTTTTTCCAGGAACCTTATTTTTCCTAGCACTTTGAATATGTAATCATGATCTATTCTGTCATATGTTTTTCTCTAAATCTAGGTTTGCTATAACTATTTGTTTTCCTTTCTTGGATGTGGAACAGTATCTCTCTGATCAGTCACTCTAATCATTTGGGAGATCCTTCTACCTGGTACTGTGTATACTTGGTCTTCATGTATTATCTTCTGGAGGTTTTTCCTCATCCTCAAAGCCAGCATCTTGGCCATTAACTTATAATTCCTATTAAGGAGTATAAATCAGCCTCCAGTTTTTCAGGAGTTACTTCTCCCCTTTCTTGAGGAGTAAGATCGCAATAACTCTTATAAAATCTCTCCCTGCCTCTCCTGTTTCTGCTATTTCCTCAGTAACTTCCACTATATCCCTCCTTACCCATGCCCAAAACTCTCCCAAGGTAAGTAGTTTGTCTGTTTTTGATTTCCCTCTTTTAAATGTTTTTAAGAACTACTCACTTCCTTTATCTTTTCTTCCATCGCCTTTGCTTCCTCCTCCAGTACTTTTTCTTAAATCTGTTCCAGCGAATCCTTCATCATCTTCCTATTTCCTTTTGATGTAGCTCTTCATAAAATCTCATTGCCTCCAACACCTCTTCCTGCTTTTCCACCTGGGTACCATCATCTTTCTGTACTGCTTTTAGCTCTTTCTCCATCTTCGCTCTAGCCGAAAAGTACTGGGAGCGCTCTATTTTCTCCCACCCAGGGTGCTAAAAACATTCTCCCTCTCGACTTCCTATTTCTTGCCTTGTTTCTTCTACTTGTTCTCATACCCGTCTTCCTTCTGCAGCTTCTTTCAGCAGCTCCTGTATCATCTTTCTCTGCAGCTCGTTTGTTCTTCTCCCCATGGTTCTTCAGCCTTCCTTCCTGGAGAATTCTCCCATCTTCTTCTTCACCATCATTCACCATTCTCTGATGCTCCCAAAACATTCCGTCAGTGTTCTCCATCTTTCATACCATCTCATGTAAAATTGGCATATCTCCTGATCTTGTAACAGTTGCACGGCAGTTGCAACTGTAACAGTTGCACATTTAACTTCCACATTCCCCTTCTGCTAACCCGGCTCTTACCAAGACTCAGTTCCTCCTTCAGCTTCCAGCGATCACT